AGTGTTTCTCTCCTCACCTCAGGTCTGGGAGACATGGCCATCTCCAACTCCATAGGCAGTAATGTGTTTGACATCCTGGTGGGTCTGGGTCTGCCCTGGGCGCTGCAAACGCTCTGCATCAAGACGGGCTCCACCGTGAGTGTTCCCCTGCTCCGCTGGAGGAGCAGAAATGAGTTCATAAACAATGAGACTTTGTTTGTCTGCATCACCGTGAACTGAGACGGTGTTATTTGTCTCATTACACTTTAAAATAAAACAAAAAAACTGCATTTTAAGGTCATGTTGGATCATTGGTGAAAATGATGTGAAAATGTGCCTCGTTCTCTGTTCTTCAGATCGAACTTAACAGCAGAGGACTCATATACTCCGTGGCTCTCCTACTAGCCTCAGTATTCTTCACAGTAAGTCACAGATTTCTGCAGCTAACACTTTTGAATGCACAGACTTGCGGAGCAATGATATGAAGGCGTCCCTGACAGCTTTAACTTATGTTTCCCAGCCCCGGGGTAAAGACTTCAAACGTGTGAAATGAGGTTTAAACAAGTTACCGTATTTCCCGGACTACAAAGCGCACCTGAATATTAGCCGCACAAGCTAAAATCAGGGGAAAATCCTGTTTTGTACATACATTAGCCGCACCTGACTAAAAGCCGCAGGTGTTTCAATGTTGACTTATCATATGTAAGAGAATATGCACAAAGGGAATTGTCAGGAAAGAGATGGCTGTTTGGAGACACACCCCTTTTATTAATATTTTGAAAAACAAGTTATGGGTACATATTTGCATAACTTTTTAGGTGTATGTACAAGTAGCGGTAATTACAAGTACCAAACATGTACTGTGCTTCATAAATGAGTAACAAATGTAGTACATAACAATAACCTACAGCACACCAGAAAAATAGTTTCGGACTACCTTTTAGGCTCAGATGCAGTGACACGACTTTAACAAGAAGAAAAGTCAGTCATTCGCCACCATCTTTCTCTTCTTCCTGCACTAAAACCACCAAAGTCCTCTTCTCCAGTGTCGGAAACGAACAGGCCCAGGATGGCTTCGTCATCCACTCTCCGCTTCTCTGCTTCGTTGTCACTTTCAAAACCAAACAAATCCTCGTTGTCAGTGTCAGAGTCGAACACCCTCAGAAGGGGTCCAGCCCTTCAAAATCCGTTGGTGATCGTGGATGTTTTCACACTTTTCCACGCTGTCAGATTCCACTGGTGGAGTTGGGCATAACTTGCTTTTCGCAAGTTTATCGCCGCTCATCATCCACACCTCCCGCTGAACGCGTAGCGCTACTTTGAAGTTTGTTTTTCGCGCTACTTGTACGGCACTATGTTGCCTGGCGGATGGACATGTGACCAACATACCACTCTTGAACCCCGATCCTTCCGCCAGGCAACGTAGTGCCGTACAACAGCGGAACAAACAAAACAAATCGTCTTACGATATCACAAAAATCATGGACAATCCTTAGAAAAGCCGCAGGGTTCAAAGCTTGTGCAAAAAGTGGCGGCTTATAGCCCGACAGTTACGGTACACACACTCCTATGTCAACCACAGGTTTGAAATGAGTATATTTAGACAAGAGGAAGAGCAAGTTCAATTGCAGCCACATAAAACACCTAGTTTGACGTATCGACAAACGCGGAAATTTCATAAAACTGGAGCCAGTTCCAAAGAATGCCATAATTTGCAAATGTCATAAATCTATATTTTATTCACACCAAATATCTTGAAAGCCAAAAAGATGAGAAAACTTAAAAACACATGAGAGCCTGATGGGAGTTTTATGAAGCACTGCTCATCACCTTCTCTGCAGTGAAGCACAGAGGTGGTGGCATCATGTTGTTGGGATGCTTTTCAAAAGCAAGCAGATGGTCAGAAATGAAGGACGAATGAAGGCTGTCAGATGTATATAAGTATGCAGAGAAGTGCAAAAACCTAAAACTGAAACACGACCTGAAGTAAACAGCTGCACTTGAGCTGGACCGACTGTTCCTGGGAGGTCCGGACAAACCAATAAAAAGGCTCTTTTAAGTCAGTTGCATCCACTCTTCTTATCTTTGTGCGGTGCGTCTCTAATGGTGTCTTCTTCGTTCAGGTCCTCGGCGTCCATTTGAACAAGTGGACTCTGGACTGGCGACTGGGCTTGGCCTGCCTCATCTTGTACGCCATCTTTCTGTCCTTCTCCGTCCTCATCGAGTTCAACGTTTTCACTTTCGTCAACCTCCCCATGTGCCGAGACATCCACTGACCCTCCCGCCTTCTCCTCCTCTTCTTCTTCTTCTACTAATTCTTCCTCTGGCTGATGGGGGAACCTCACCTGGCTTCCAGTTTCATGGCGCCTCCAAACAAAGTCCTACCTATTACTTAATAGAAAAATAGAGTTCTGTATGATTTATATTTGGTGCAATACACACGAGCGGCGGAGAGAAGGACGTCGGATGTTTTGGGGTTATTTTCTGGAGGAAGAGAAAGTGCCAGCGGCGGGATTGCTGCCGATCATGTATAATGAACCAAAACGTTGGCTGGAGTGAACTTAACTGTATTAACGCCGACAATTAGGCTACTGTTGGTGAACAAGCTGCTACTGTAACTGACTGACTGAGGCGAGAAAAGAGAGAAGTCAGCGATTTTTAGCTGGATTGTTTGTTACTCTTTCTACAAGTTTGGATATAAAGCACACGATTAAGTAATTTTTAAGCAAAAACTGGCTTCCTGTGTATATATTAGAAGTACTTCTATCAGCTTTTGTGTGGAATCCTCTTATGCACAACTGGATCGGTCTCGCAAAGCCGAAATATTCTGTGTTTTCCTTTAGGCTCAAAATGCTTCAACACGTCTCCTACCAGCCCACGCAGCATGCCGTAACAGCCACAGCTCTAGCTTTGCACTGTCACAGAGATATTTATCACATAAAGTCTGCTCTTGGCTGTTTTGTTTTTGTTCGTCGTACCCGAGTAGATGTGGGCTTTAAATTTTCCCACACGATGAAAGGGATCTACCTGGAACTGACATCCAGCACCGTCACTTTATGGATTAGAGATTTATTTCTTTTAATATTCTATTGCAAAGCGTCTGCAGGTAAACATGTAACTACTGAAGTTAAACTTCCCTGTAGGCAGTAGACGTCTCGTTTATTGAAAAGTTAGCTTTTAGTCGAGTGTAACGTTATTTCTTAAAGCCAAAAGTATTTTTAGATTAGCCGAACTTGTAGATTTGGACTTAAGAGTCGAATGCACAGTGTGTTTGTGTTTGTGTGTGTGTGTGTGTGTGAGTGAGCGCGTGCCACAATCTGGAGCGGATGCAAAGCATGCCGAGGATGTGACTGGGAAGACGTAATCGTGATTTATTTATGAATTAATTTATTCGAAGATCACGTCTGACCTCCAGTTTCAGCCTTTTGGATCGTGTACAGTGATTTCAGTGGAAGCTGTGTACAATGTACTGTACCTAATATATAATCTAAGTACTGGAAACTGACTTGATGTTGTTTATATTTAAGAATAGAACTTTATAATTTATAAGTTTTGTATAGTTTGGAAACGTTGCATTTATATTAGTTTAAACACAGTGGATTTGGAGACAAAGGATGGAAATGTCGGCCTTTACAAACCTCTCACATGTCCTGATGTGTCGCCCTCACGTGTTAAATTAGGGATGAGATGCAGATGTAAAGGATTTCTTTTCAGGAAAAAGGAAACATCAGACTTTGAACTTTCACAACAGTGCTTCAATTACTGTGCCGTCTCTTGTATTTGAGGCTCGCGGCACCACTGTTAGAACATTACGGTCACTCTGTTGCAGCATGTGTTCAAAGAAAACGTGGACTTTTTATTTCAGTTCTTGAATCTGATCCATTCAAAGCGTCCCGCAGTCACAGGATGGCGCTGTAGAGCTGCGCCATGCCTTCAGCGAGGCTGCGCTTTGGGTGTGTGGGGGGATATTTTCAGGTAGGCTACATAGTGACATATACTGTTCGGTTTTGCATGCCTCTTTCATAGTTCTGATTATTTTGTGTGTAATTCTAATGCAACATCTAAAAGGCACTGTCTTGGTTATGCTGTACATATCAGGAGGAATACGCTATCATAAACGCAGGTGTTGGAATAACTTCTGATGAGCAGTTATATTTGAGATATATACAGTATTTAGGATGTAGGCCTACAGCACTTAGTTTCAGCTAATTCTCGTCATTTTATGCTCATGTCTGTTAACTTGTTTGTAAATCCTCGTTTTTGTTGATGAGGAGCTCTGGGCAGGGACAGACGGACACCTTCACCTTGTTCCCAGTGATCTTCTTGCAATAAATTGATTTACATACACATAATGTTTGCAGATGCATTTATGAGTCATCTTTAAACAGGACCTGTGAAAAAGTTTTCTAAGGAATCCAATGGAAAACTACACACAGCCTTACTGCTTCGAGAAACGAGAGGGTAGAATTCAGGTGTGTATTAACACAATGCCTCAAGCTTTGATCGAACATGGCGACCATTTCATCCCAAAGTCTGGCCGTGCAATGCTCAAAGGAACTGCAAAAGTCCAAGTGCTACATCTCAGGCTCTACAGGCCTCGGTTAGCATGTTAAATATGAAAGTAATCAGAAAAAGACTGAACAAGTATCGGCTGTTTGTAAGCGTTGCAGGAAAAAACTCTCTAAAAGGAAGATAGCAGTACGGCTACAGTTCTGTAACAACGTCCTTCTGACAGACGTTTGGCTGTTGGAGTTCCCCAGATGTAATGCAAAGCATCACATCTGTGGAACTCCAAACACAGCATATCAGCACCTACACCTCGTCCCAACGGTCAACGTGATGGTGGAGGGGGTTTGTTTTGCTGCCACACGACCTGTTGTTGACCGTGTAGTCTTCAGTATGCCAAAGTATTCTAGAGTCTGATCGACGGCTGAAGCTCAGCCCAGATTGTTACTTGAAAGAGGACAGCGATCCCAAGCACAGCAGCAAATCTCCAACAGACGTGCTGAAAAAGAATCAAAGTGTTGCAACGGCCCAGTCAAAGTCCAGACATCAACCCGACTGAAATGCTGTGGCGGGACCTCAAGAGAGCCAAACTGTCCCCCGCCTGTCCCGTTTGGTTCTTTTGCCATCAGAATTATTGTCTAAAGGCCAAGAAAGATGCCCAACGGATTTACTTTACCAAATGGACCATCCCGGCCTTGTTGTATTGATCCATTTGATTGACCTTTGTTTTTATTGTTTATTTTATTTTATTTTCAGTTGTTACATACGGGACAGACATGACTGGGGGAAGGGAAAGGGAGAAAGAAAGAGACGGAGGGAAAGAAAAACAGCGGGGAAGAGGAACGGTGATAAAGGGCACAAAACAAAAAAGAGGTGGGGGGACAAAAAATACAGATATATATATATATATCAATCACCTGGATCACCTGTTGAGAGAGAAAAAAGAAGAGAAAACAAGCAAAACAAGAGAGCAATTTAATAAACAACATAATCGCGATGATCTATGTGAATATAACAATAAATACTAAATATTAAACATTATTGTGCAGCACGTAAGATCGACAGCGCACAGTGTGCTTTGAGGTAGCAGCCAAAAAGGGTGTAGTTTGTGTGTGTGAGCACCCGTGTGTACACCTGTGAGTGAGCGCACTTGTATTCAAAAGGTTCCTTCATGTCATGATCTGCTAGAGGGTGTGGGGGGGGCCATAGCCAACATCCAGAGACTCTCAGAGCACAAGAGACCAAGGAAGACCAACGGAGGGGCAGCCGTACCACTCTGCCGAGCTGAGGACAGCCCCAGATGAGGGGTCACCCAGCAGCCGCAGAGCAGAAGCCAGAGGGGGTTGCAGTGATGCGCCCGTGAGCTCCGCTGGCAGCCAGCTGTGCCAGAGTGGACCGAGCCCCAGGCCCAGAGGCCAAGGGCACCCCACCCCCTGAAGGGGCCCAACCGAGCCACAGGCACCAGGCCCCGACAAGCAACCACCAGGAGTGAGCCGATGCATACCTGAGCAGACACCAAGAACCACCAATGCACCGATGTCTGAGGGCGTCTGCCACTGGCAGTCAGAGTGGTGGGGGGAGATAGGCCTCCATACCTTGGAGGGCCTGAGATGTCCCAAGTGAGGTGACGTCTGATACCCGACCTGACATATAGACACAGACAAATGGCCACACACAGATACGAATATCCAGACAAGCAGACCACTCCCAACTCTGCAGCAGCAGGGAGGCCCCACATTCCAGACCCCAATCGGATGGCCAACTCCTCCTCCCAGCACCCCCGCCCCAACGGGCAACAGAGAATAGAGGTGTGTGAAGACTCCAAGCCTCCCTCCGCCCGCTCATATGTCAACATGTAGTGTTGATGCAAGTTTTTTCTAAGGTGCATTTAAAACCCAGGAGGGCATGGAGCTACCTGCCAGACTGCATCAGGTAAGTGCATAGCCCCTCCCAAGAACCCTCAATGTCTACGTGTATTTAAAGTTGAGAGGTGGGCAACGGCACCAGAGGTGAGGTTGTATTCACTGATGGTCTTCTGGATGCCGTGTGGCATGCCCACCCCCAAGGTCCTATATGTATGTGTTATGAGAGTGCGAGTAATGTGAATGTCTAAGTTGTTGAATAAAATTGAGGCACAGGCAGCCAGAAGGGGACAGAGGGGGGGGAGATGCCTCCCCTGCACACCTGCACCCCAAGGCCCTGCATGTGTGGGTGATTGTGGTGGAGCGGGAAGAGGAAGGCAGCTGGAGATGGGGAGGGAAGGAAAGGAGGGGCAAGAGGCCCCTCTCTGGGGCCAGCTCCCCCGCTGACCCCAGTAGGCACCCCCACACTCTGCAACCCACGAAGGCAAAGGGGCCCAGGCCCATCCGGACCTGGGCCCACAGCAGCAGCACCGCTCAACCTCCCCACAGAGTCCGGGGCAGCCCACCGTTTGGTTTTCTACACACTGTTTCTGCATTTGGTTTAGCTTTTGGTAAATAAATAAGGACATGATGTAATGTGACATTTTGCATGTATGTATATGTCCTGATATGAAAGATGTATTTTTAGCATGACTGTAGATGGTACCTGGCTTTTAGGAGAGACTGAGAAGGTACAGACTCAGTTTTCTTCCCTGAAGAAAGCAGAAGACTTACTTGGAAAAATTCTCAAGTATTACTCATTGATGACTGCTTCAGACAGCGGCTGGTTTTTAATGATAAATGGCCATGAGTTACATGAGTTTGATGGTAAATGGATTGGTACTTGTACACTCTTAAGAACTCAAAATGATTTTTACTACAAGCCTCATTTAACAAATTGCACAAGTGTTTTTTCTATGAGTAAACATTGACACACACTCACACAGCGTCGAGGGCGATTCAGTGCAGCGGCTTCCTC